GCGTGAGCCACCGCGCCTGGGCCTTCATTGTGATTTTCTAAATAAACATGGATATATACTTCTGCTTTTAGAAGAATACAGAACATTTTATGACTTATTGACTTGCTGAAAAACTTCATTAGCAAGAATTCTCATCATTTTAAATAAGCCTTATTTTGTCAAAATTTATTCATCTGTCTAGATTGATAACAGTCTTGTAGGTGTTGAGGAGAGAAAGAGAGAGAATTAACATAAATGTTTAATACCACAGTATATCGGACAGGGGAGGAAAAAAGTGAGGAATCTCTGACCTTTATTCAGATTTTTCAATGCTAGCTAGTATGGTGCTTTTATGTACTTATATACAAATTATGTATAGCAAGTTGACAAAATTTCTTGTCAGATTTCTAAAAATGCTCTTTTTCTTTGCAACAGAAGATGCTAACATAATAACTAATAGTTTAGCTGACTTAGAAAGACTACAAGGATAGCAAGAGGGAAATTGCCAGAATCTGTAACATTTTAACAGTTGATGACTCAGTATTGGAATTTCGTTGTCAGGAAAGTCTTGATCCTATACTTGAGGAATTTCTGACTTGATGCAAGTTCAAACTGAAGTGAGCGTTTCATTGTTCAGCACATCAGATTGGCAAAATATATTGCATTAGACAACACCTTAGCCTAAGCTGCCCTACATTTTAAAACAAAAACACCTAAAAACTGATGAGTAACACAAGAAAGAGGAAGGGGAAAAAAAAGAGGGGAAAGAAAAAAGGGAAGGAGAGGGAAGACGGAGAGGGGAAAAGAGAAGAGAAAAAGAAAGAAGAAAAAGGGGAAGAGGGAGCATGAAGGGAGGAGGGAAGAGAGCCTGTTTTGAATAGCTGCTAAAGACACATGAACAAAATGAATGAGATTGGTAATATACGACATTTGAAAATTTCGAAGAATATCCAAACAAACACAGCTATCAATCTGTGAGACCTTATTTGTGAGTTTCCTAATTTGCATGTAAGTGGAGGAGACACTGGACGTTTGGATTTGGAGACCTGATCATTTACCTGCACATCAAAATGCACAGTCCTCAGTGTAAAGTCATGTTTCTAGAAAAACTTTTTAGTACAAACAAGGTGAGAATATGTCATTATTGATGCCAGAGCAGTCGCTTTTTCTGTACACTTTTTCATGTTGTCTGATGCTAACAAGCTTAACTAGATTTTAAGTTAGCATAATTCGAGGGCAAAAGTATTAAGTATATATAAAATGACTAATTTAATTTTACATAATTTAAGAAATAAAAAATAAGAATTTCCAGATTAACAACCACACTGCCTGAATTACATGTTTAAAGCAATATAATTACAAACCTAAGAAGAATAAAATAATGTCATCTATTTGTATTTCTTGATTTCTGTAATGTTTAGATAGGTTACATTAATGTCAAGTTAACTAATCCTTTTATTATTATTTCTGTTTTGCAAACTTTTTTTTTTTTTTTTTT